TTGGATATCAACAAGAGGCATTCCTTATATTACTAGCAATAAATATTAAAATAAATATTTATGAAATTAAAAAGGAAGTATTTAAGAAAAAAGGCAGTATTTTAAGAACAGGAACCACTTCTATAGTTATTGCGAAAAAGTGAGTTTTATTTTTGTTTTTGGTGGGGGAAGGAGTCTAATTTAGTCTGAAATTGAGATCAGTTGCCAAATGACAAGTCCAAAAACCTGTGCTTTCTTATCTAAGAATTTATAGAAAGAGGAAAGTGTGTGCTGAATGTTTTAAACATCTCCAACTGACCATACAAAGTCTGATTTTTTAAATTTACATTTATAACTCATTTGTATTAAAACTATTTTAACATACATGTGCTTTTTCAAATTAAAATGAAGTAGAAAATAGCAAATGCATCAATTTTTATTAGCTAAGGAACTAAAGTGTCTGAATTTTTGTGATAGTTTTGAATGTTGTGCTTCTTAATACAGAATGGAAAATATAATTCTCAGGTATCTGAGAATCTTGTTAAATTGAAGAGTATTCATTGCTTTAGCTTCACAAAGTTTTGGTTTCAACTATCATAAGTGAAAATGTCTTCATTTAATGTTCTAAGTAGTAGTAATATTAGAATAACAAGAATAAGAAGAAATTGTTCTTTTAAGATATGTAAATTCTAAAAATAAAACAAAATTTCTGTGTATTAAGATCATGGTTTTGTGGATTGGAGAAGGTAGTATTAACTAAATTGATCCTCTTTATGAATAGTGACTTAAATACATCATTCAGGCAACTCTTCAACACCTAGTTTATCATCATTGCATCTATGACTGAATGAAGTCTCAGGAAACAAGAAGAAAGGTTTACTTGGATCTTAAATCCTACCTTCTCAAATATTAGGGATAGAAATGATTAAAATCTTTTTTAAAATGACAAGTGTGATGAGTTTTGGTAAACCAAAGTATAAGTAATACAGTTACTCAAATTGATAAATCGGCACAAAGATTCAGTCATCGACTTCTTAATGATTTTCGAGTTTTCATTTCTCTCATTTCCCAGTTCTTTTTTTTTTTTTGACATATTAAAATGATTACATTCTGTGTAAGAAGCTGTTGGCTAGGACTCATGAATTAGATTGGAAATGTAACCGACTATAATGAAAAAAGTGATCCAGAATGTCTGATTAAAAGTTCTCCTGAGTACACAAATTAGATGTGGGAAGAAAAAGTGTTTATGGTATCCTGAGGCAATAAGTTTCTGGTTAGATTTATGATTTGGTTATGCATCTACATATATGCCTTCTACTTTGACCAATTCAGATTTTTAGGAGAATTGGCTTGAAATTTAGTCCTAAAAGTTTAGACAATTACCCATGTTTTGTGACTTGAATTAAATGCCTACGGACTTGAAGATATATCAAAATACTTAATGTAAGGTTTTTCGGCGGCAGCGAAAAGAAAAGACAGAGAAAGAGTGGGGCCAAACTACATGGCTTTACTATACACTCCTGGATGAGGTTCTGGGGCCCCAAGGGGTGGGGGCAGAAGTCGCCACTGTTTGAAGGGGCTGAGGCCTTTTATACCCTTTGGGCCTGGCTAGGGACTTGGGGGGAAGAGCTGGGGATTTTCCATTGTGACCTTGGGTGGTCATTGAGAAATAGGAGGGGCTGGAGATATTTGTGGAATCCGGGAGCAGAAACGTTCTTATCTGGGTGGACATCTGGGTGTGGTTCCTCTCAGCGGGGCCTGGCAGTTTTGTCCTTGGTGGGTCTGGTCTCGTGAGCCTTTTCTTTTTTGATCTAGAGAGAGGAAGGGGCCCGCCACCAGCCTTACACTTAATAGCAGTAGGTTCTTTAAGGATTGGTGTAAACTAATAATACAGATATAAATAAGCTGTTTCTTTGAGTCAATAAATGAATTTTTAAAATATTAATATTGATACTTAGCATATTTAATTTTGGCAATGGCATCTGGATAGAATCCATAGAAATAGAAGTGGCCTGAGTATACTCACTAATCATAGCAAGCTTAAGAGGGCTTTTGCCACCTGATTTTTCTCCAGTTTAAGAATGTAGAGATGAGTTCATTAAAAAATGATTTAAGTTCCTGCCATGTGCTAGCAACTGTTTTAAGCCCTATGTTAAGCCCTGTTATAGAGAGTAACACTGTTATAGAGCAGATTACTCTCTATAACAGTGTTATAGAGTTATAACACTGTTATAGTGTTATAGTGTTATAACACTGTTATAGAGAGTAATCTGCCTTCATGGTGTTTAAAATCTAAGATGTAAACAATACTGCATATAAGCTGACAGCAATTCCTATGAAGAAGAATAAAACAGGGTAAGGATTTGAGGAGGATGGAGGGGAGTGGTATATTGAATGCAGTGTTGAGAGAAGACTGCAGAAGGTAATAATTGAGCTGGTGCCTGAAACAGGTGATGGGGGCGATGAGAAAGAAGATACGCAGGGCAGCAGTTCCAGGCAGAGGACCCGGGTGCACAGGCCTGAGGTGAGAATGAGCTTCATGTCTAGGAATCCTAAGGCTAGTGTCTATAGAGCTTAGTGAGCAAAGAGGACTGATAGAGGGTAAGGTTCAGAGATAGGCAGAGCAAGATCATTTGAGGCCCTAAAACCATTGTAAGCAGGTTTTTAGATGTCTGGTAAGCATTAAAAGAAACCCTCTGCCTGTTGCGTGAATAGATTAGGGTGGAGCAAATGTAGAAAGAGGGTGAGTGATTTGGAGACTTGCAGGTCTGGGTACTACGAATAACAGCAGAGGTTAAACAGCTAATTAACGTGATAATTAAAATGGCAGCTGAGGGTCAGCTAGAAGCAGTAGAACCCAGGCCCACTTGAATGATTACAGGAAGCCTATAGTTGGTCCTTTGTGAGGAAACCACTGTGGCTGGCTGGGTGTTGGTGTCAGGGAGCACCCAGGTTGCTGGGATAATGTGTGTTAAAATGGAACTCAATTGCAGAGTGTTCAGTTGGACACACCTCAGTTCATGGCTCATCTTCAGCGTTGGTCCATGCAATACTTACTTATTTCCCTTTATCTTCATTCTCATTACCTGTAACATATTTTATTTTCCAAAGATGGCCATAACAATAGATCCTTCTCATGTTATTCCAGAACCTTGCCTTGTAGAGTTTAATTCTCTTCTTAATCTAGGCGGATTTGTAATTCACTTATAACCAATAGAATGCAATAGGGATGATACTTTGTGACTTCCAAAGCTAGGTCAGAAAAGGCAATGAACAGACTTGAAAGTCCTGCCTTGATCTCTAAAATACTCATACTGGAGCTCTGTGCCAGCATGGAAGCAATCTGACTTCTCTGAGGCTGCTACATAAATGAGGAAGCCTAAACTATCCCACGTGGAGAAAGCACGTGTAGAAGGTCTGAGACCACATGAGCAGAGAGAGATGTCTGGCCAGCCTTCAGCTGCACCACTGCCCCCACCCCCGTGACCCACCGTGTCACTGTAACTGCATGAGAGACCCCAAACCGGACTGCCCAAATGAGATGTTTCCAAATTTGTGGCCCCCAAACCATGAGAGAGAATAATTATTCTAAGCCTCTAAACTTGGCCATGATTGTTATATGACGATAGTAACTAGTATCTGGAAGCAGAAGTACCAAAATAAAAATAAATCCAAAATGTGGCACTGGTTAGAAAGGCCTTGAGGAGACTGTTCATGAGTCTAAAGGGCCTTTCAGAAAATGTTAGCAGAAGCCTAGAGTCTCAAGAATACTTTCAGTGAGGGCTAAAGGAGAGAAAAATGTAATTGGGAGTGGAAAAAAAGGGGACCCTTGTTATGCAGTGGTGGAAAGTTTGGCAACATCGATGTCATGGTAACATGGAAAACAGGGAAATGTATCCAAAAAAACTAGGTGATCTAGATAAGGAAATGTCTGGATAACATACAAAAAGTACTCCCTGGCTGCCGCTTGCTGCCTATGACAAAATGTAAGAGGAGAGGGACGAACTAAAGAACTGAAAGGTGGCCTTACTAATTACCTACCTAACAGAAGAAAATGAATTGTCAAACAGAAAGTTAGAAAAATAAACTCACAGCACATAATTGCTCCTTTTAAGAGGAAGCTCACAATACAACTACACTCTTTGTTTTAATTAAAACACATGTGGCCTAAGAGTTTTCAATTTCTTAACCTTGAAGAGCCCAAGCGGGGACAGTAGGGATGCAAACTCCCCGCTCCTCACTTGGTGGGGGGGAAGTATTGGGAGGTACAGAACCTCCCGGATCTCTCTCTGCCCGCCCTCTGGGCTCACCATGCACGGGCTTAAGGGCATCAGGACATTCTTTTAGCACTTAGGACTGTCCTCTCAGGGGGCAGAACTTTATTTCCATCTGTGTTTCAGGTAGCACTAGTGTCCTAAGTGTTTGTAGTGAGGTTTGCTTCGTCATAGTTTCTTGTTAAATGGACAGATGAAACCATTAGGCCCTAGTCTCTGGTGTCATTTAATGATCCTAAGACAAACAAAGAACAATATTTAGTAAAAAAAAAAAAAAAGGCACTCAATAAAAAGTGCTTGGATGAATACTGTAGCCCTGCACTGTCTGTTATGTAGCCCCTCCTAGGACAGGATAAAGCTATACATGGCAAGTTAAATTTAAATTAATTCAAATAAAATTTAAAATTCAGTTCCTTAGTCATGCTAGCCATATTGAAATGGCTGCATGTAGCTAGTGTACTGTGCAGATGCAGATGTTTCCAGTACTATTGGGCAGCACTGTATAAAGAAAACTTCTCTAGGCATGTTCTGAAAATAGAGACCTGCTTTTAGAGTTCTTGATGAAATCTCTTCTGCCTTCCTTCTTTAAGATTAAAAGGGTCAGGGTTTTGTTCTATCATTAAAAATAACAACTTTTGTTATTTTTGTATACACTTGAGAAGACAGAAGTTCTCTTTCCTACTGGCTTACATTGGAGGACACCTCTCAGCCTATAGTTGTATAGAACATATGTTGTTTGCAACCAAATCACACTGAGATAAAATTTATTGTCATATAAGGAACATTTTCTCAGAATGAACAAATCTTCTGTATTATTTAAACTTTACATGCCATATTAATTGTCCCTCTTTTGGGGGCCTGGATGAAAAGTTGGAAAGTTGCTTTTTTTTCCCTTTTGTTGTCATTACTTCTTCAAATTCCAAAGTTGTGTGTTTAACAGTAGATTTAGAAAGTTGTTGACAGTTGACCTTTGATTGTTATAAACATCTGCTTCGATTTTAAAATTATAAAATAAGAATTAGGGGGAAAATCAAATGTTATAAATTTATTTGGGACATTTATTGCCACCACTTTGGAAGCCTTTGAAAATTCAAGCAGAAACAGATACACTTCCATCTTTTTTTTTACTTTCAATAAATAATATCTTTGTGTATATGTATATATAGATAGATATATTTAATTAATGAATCATTTAACAGGGTTTTAAGTTTTATACTGCATTCATCCAAAACAGCTCTTTCCAGATTGATAGGATGCAAATGAGGTAAGAATTAAGGCAAACCCAAAAGGCATGCAAATGTAGTACATTTATATTCACTGATAATACAAGCTCTTGTGTGTGGGCCAGACACGGGAGCCAAGGGCCCCTGCATGTGTCCGTCCAGTACTATTTTACAGGAGGGTGGTGACACAGCTTATATTCGTCACATTACCATGGGGGTCTCAGTGCTACTAACATTATGTAATCAAGGAGACACGAGCATTAGCAAAACATGTACAAGAAATCATATAACTCTTTGTAGCACATTTCTGCCCAGGCTTTGGAGGAGGGTTTTCATGAAATGATATTACACATATCACATTGTGGCAGGTTGTTTGTTTTGTTTTATAATATATGCTTTTAAAATTCATTAGCAAATGACATTCTCATGCACACAAGTGTTTCAAACACAAGAAGCAAGTCCATTTATAGGTAGTCCAAGCAATATCTGTGTGTGTGTGCGTGCGTGCGTGTGTATGTGTGTGTGTGTGTGTGTGTGTGAATAGCTGCAGACTGAATGGAACATTGAGACTTTTGTGCAGTCCATACTGTAGACACCAGCTCATTTCTGAATGTCGCACTGCAGAAGTAATACAATGGAAGGGTCGCTCTTTGCAGCTTCTTTGAATTCATCCAGCGTAATCTGGTCGTCTTTGTTCTTATCCATCTTGCTGAAAATCTTGTCTACCCGCTGCTCGGGCGTGAGGCCATCCTCATTCATCTTCATCATGATCACAGTGCCCACCATTTTGTAGATAGCCTGGGGGAAATGAATATTGTAGACGGTTTTACCAGAAACCCAGGAAGACAGAGAGCTAGCTCTTTTTGCCTCCCCTTCACCTGACTGGATCCTACTCATCCTCCAAACCTCAGCTTCCCTTTCCCCAGAGGAGGTTCACTCCTTGTGCTGCGAGTTTCTGTGGCAGCACGCACCACCTCCCCCATCAGAATCCATCTCGCGCTTTATTACAGTAACATGCTCGTCTTCCCCACCAGACGGTATGTCTAGGAAGCTAGGAAGCACGTGAGGTGCTCACTCCTGTAAGTCCAGGGCTAGGGCCTGGTACAGTGCCTGGCACATAGTAGATGCTCAATAAATATTGATTGAATGAAGAAAAAAATCTAGCTTGCTGGAGCATTGGATGCAGGGCAAGGGGCGCTAGGAGGGAGGGCTAAGTGGGAGTCTGACGAAATCTGGAGAGAGGAGAGAGAAGCAGATCACAGAGTTTTCCTAGGATAGGATAAAGAATTTAATTGTATTTCAAATGACTCCTTAAATGCTATTCGGTAAGAGAGTGATATAATCAAATATGGGTGAATCTGGTGACCAATTGGATGCAGAAGACTTTTCGATGACTCCCAGGTTTCTGGCTGGAGGAAGTGGGTAGAAAGGGTGGCTCACTGGTGAGACAAAGAATGATGTAGTAGGAACAGGTTCGGGGAAGAAAGTGACGAGTTCAATTTTAAACATTCTGTGTTTGAGGTGCAGATGGCAGTCAACAACCACTAGCCCTGAAAATCTAGAAAAACATAAAGTGTGCTCCCAGCTGATAAGAAACTTAGAAACTGGGCTACCAAGTTTCTACCAAGGGCTACCAAGGGCTACCAAGCCAAGTATACCATTTCAATTGAGCTCTGAAAGAAGTTAGTTTAGAAAGAGTTGTGGGTCAGGAACTCTGTTTATAAGTTAAAGAATAGAGTGAGAAAATTCCAATCCCCGCCAATTAACTGTATACAATTAATTCTCATTATGGGAATTTCCTATTTATACAATAATTTTTTTTTCTTACAAAAGTACCTAAAAAAATAAGTGCCCTTCTATGCAAAGACTTGCATGTGAACATTCATAGCAGCATTATTAATAGCTCCAAAGTGGAAACAACATGCTCATCAACTAGTGAACAGATAAATAAAATATATCTACATAATAGAATACTATTTTAGCAATAAAAATGAATGAGATACTAATATATGCTACAATATGTATAAATCTCAAAATAAAAAAAGGAAGCCACACACAAGAGGCCATATATTATTATACGATTCCATTTATGTCAAATATGTAGAAAGGCAGCCAAATTCACGGGCATGAAGTAGAGTGATGCTTGTCTGAGTCTGGGAGTGTGAATGGGCCTCTGGGCATGAGGGATCTGAGTGGGGAAATAAAAATATTTTAAAATTGGATTATGGTGTGGTTGCATTATCTCTGTACATTTACTAAAAATCATTAAGTTGTAGACTTAACATGAGTGATTTTATGGTCTGTAATTTATAACTCATAAAGTTGTTTTTTAAAATGCCAATTAGAGAGAGCAAACCACTAGCAAGTGCCCTATATAAAAAGCTAAAATGCCCATTGGGAGAAAATAGTTTGTGTGTGTTCACTTTTGTAGCTAGATTGTATTGACTTATCATGGAAAAAATCTAAGAAATTTGTCTTTAAAAGAGGAAGACTACTGAAATTTCAGCTTGTGGACAATTGGTAGACAGGGTCCTGATCAGTCTCACAGCCTGAGTGGGTCACAGGGAAAAAGCAGAGACTGTGCACGGTGCCTGACATTTGAAAAGAAATGAATGGCCCGTCTATATATATGGAAGCTGCTGCTCTCACTGTGGCCTTTAAAAGGTGAAATCAAAGGCCTTCTATGAGGCAATGGATATAAAGACAGCAAGACAAGTGTGCTATTAATAAAGCCAGGGTAATAAAAAATGTAAACACAAGAGGTCCATCTTGGACCTCAGGAAGCAATGAAAAAGGCAGGGTCTCATTAACTGTATCCCTGAAGCAGTCCTGCGATTTGAACCATGAACATGACAACCAAGAAAGGATGTTCTAGATGCAGATTCTTCTTACAGGTAAATCAAGAAAGGCCAAGGGCATGCCAGACTTGGAACTCAGTGTGACCATGCCCCTGGTGAAAATATGGAATTCCTCTAGGCACTCCCAGGGTGTATCAAAGTGTTTAGTATGGCCTTGCGTGCAGACAGGATAAGTTATTGCACGTGCTTTCCTAGTAAGATATAATTAAGTCTCCAGTATTCTCTCATACAAGCAGAATGTGTGGACCCATTAGGCCTGTGCCCAGCACTTCAAGTTAGACAGACTGTCCCTCAGGGGAGTTCTGTGGCTTTGGTGGTGCTTTCTTCCCATGGCCCCCTGCCCTGTTGGCAGCACCCGCCTCACTCTATTGCCATTGCCTATCCACTCATCCGGGCACTGGCCCTCGGGTCAGCGGGCTGCTCAAAAGCAGGCACTCGTGTCTTTTCACGTCTGTCCCTCCGCCACCTTGCAGGGAAGCTGGCACCTGGAGAATGGCTGGCTCCAGGCTCTAGGAGCTTAAGTGAGGATGGAGAGCTCCAGGGTGAAGCGGGCCAAGAAGGCTTTTCAGACAAAGCAAGGTTTGAAGGGTGAGAGCGCGAGGATGAACCCAGACCCCTGAAGGACGCTGCAAGTGGAAGGAACGGTGCAAGCAAAAGCGCCCAGTCAGGGGTGCCAGTGTGGAGCCAGAGGCGGAAGGAGAGGCCGGAGCCCAGGAGAAACGCAAACACACTGATCTCAGATCAGCCGCAGAGATGTGCAAGCCCGTGGCCTGGGCACGTAGCGCCTGCTCTGGAAAGGTTCTTGGCGGAGTGAATGAGCAGCTAGGGAAGCCAGGCAATGCCTTCAAGAGAGCAGCACTATCAGAGCACAGGTAGCTGGCCATGAACAAAGGCAACCAGAAGGTAGGAAAACATGTGACGGCGCAGGTGCTGGGGGCTGGAACCGGGCAAAATAACAGAGATGACAAAGGGCGAGCAGGGCAAGAGGGAGCAAAGGGGGAAACCAGGCAGGAATGGCTGAGCACTGAGGGGGGGTGGTATTTTCAAGGGAGAGAAAACAAGCAAGCACTTGAAGACAGTCTCGAGAAATAGCTACCATTTATGGAGCATTTACTGTGAGAGGAGAAGTGTGACAGGTCTCGCTTCATCATTGTACAGGCTCAGGGGCAGATTTGATTACCCTTATTTGTACAGAAAAACATGGAAGCTTTGCTGCTCGAAGTCCCCCAGCCAGGAAGCCAGGGTGTAATCTTCAAGTTCCCTCCTGCGGTCTCACTGTGTGTGTCCTCCCAAATTCCTCTGTGAAAATCCTGCCCCCCTGCCAGGGTGCTGGCATTAGGATGTGGGCGTGTTTGGGAGGTGAATAGGTCATGAGGGTGGAGCCTTCACAAATGAGATTAGTGCCCTGATGGACCAGGCCCCAAAGAGCTGCCTCACCCCTTCCACCAGGTGAGGGCACAGCAGGAAGCTGCCTCTATGAACCAGAAAACAAGCCTCACCAATACCGAAACTGCACTGCCTTGATTTCAGCTTCCCAGGCTCTAGAACTGTGAGAAATAAATCTCTGCTGTTTATAAGCCCCCCAGTCTACAGTATTTTGTTATCTCGGCCTGAATGGATTAAGACACTCCCCTGACAGCTGTCCCCAGTCATGACAGACTTCCTTTCCTGATCTGCCTTCCCCTGTCAACTAGAAAACAGGGCAAAAGAAAATAAACAGCTCTTTTCAGACTTTACAACTGACAGCGCAGGACTGCAGTTCCTAAGAGAAGGGGAACAAAGTAGATGAGCCCTAAGAGCTCAGCTTCCTGCCTGGAGGCCTTTCTGCCCATGCAGAGGAAGGAGAGCCCCAGGTAGGGCCTGAGTCTCACCAGACTGGAGGAGACAACAAGTTGGGGGGCTTGAGGAGTGGAGGGCAGGCTGAGTTAGCCAGAAATGTTGGGGCAGAGGACCAGAAAGGAGGAAGCTATGCATAGACAGCGCTCTAGAAATCTGCCTAGGGGTCTCGCCAATGTTCACCTGAAAACTAGGCTGCACACAGAGGACAAAACTCCACAGAGAAGACTCTGAACGATAAGCTGAACAACTCGTGGCATCCACCCAGGCTGTGGAACATTCTAGCTCTGAATGCAGAGAGCTTACTGAATACCTGGGACATTCAGTAGTAGGGCTATTGCCCATTTCTCTTCCTTTTAAAGCAAAGCCTCTTGCAAGAGTTTCCTCCATTCCCTTTCTCCTGGGCTGCTCCAGTTAGGGTTTTCTGCTGAAACTCTTCTCTGTTTGACAAGGTGGCTCCTTCCATCCCCCTTGAAACATTGTCTGCATTTCCCTCCAGGACTTCACATTCTATCTTTTTCCTTTGACCTTATCAAAAATTCTTTTCCAATCTTCTTTACTGACTGCTCCTCCTGTTCCTCACTTCTAAATATTAGGATGCCCCAGGCCCAGTCCTCTGGAACACTCTTTCCTGTTTATACTCACTCCCTAGAAGATCTTACATACCTTTAGTCATTTAAATACCTGAGTAGGTCTCTCCACAGGGCTGGTTCCCATCAGCCAACGTAGAGAGACCTCACTGGATCATGAGATCATCAGTAATGGTCCCACGTTGGTAGCAGAGCTCACTAACTCTCAAGAAAACCTATTCTCCCTCTGCCCTAACAAAGCTCAAAAACATGCCTTGCAAAGATCACACTAATCCATAAGTAACTTACCTGTCAAAACAAAGCTCAACACTCTCTAAATGAAGACAACAAAGTATGTATACTATAACACAATGTCTAGGAACCAATAAAAATTGGTTCCTAGACATGCCAAGAAGCAGGAAAATGTGACCCATAACCAGGTAAGAGATCAGTCCATAAAAGCCTCCCACGAGAATGCCCATGTTTAAAGAGGAAGGAGGAGCTAGAAGTGACGGGGGAGAGACGTGGAGGAGCTAAGAGAAAAAAAGGCAGCCATGGACAGTGGGAGCGGCCTGCACTAGCCCCGGGCCCGGCGGCTGCCTTGAGCTGGCCTGACCTGCACAGCCCAGACTTGATGTTTCATGTCAAACATAAGCACTGTCACTGAATGCCTGTGACCATGACGGAGCAAGACAAAAACAAGACCACTCTGTCATTATGTCTGAACACAGACAAAACATTGTCCAGGCTACAAAACACCAAGCATTGCTCCCTGCTATTAAGAGTGACTACTGCTTCTTCAGCAATTACAGCTTTGCTGAGGTCTATCTGCCTCCTTCTAGCTTTACTGAGATACCTGATCATAGAGGTGTCCCACTCTCTTGACAGCACCCAACCCAGAGTGGACACCTGCTTCCTCCTCAGATCATCTTCCCAGGCCCGGATCTCATGAGTCCTCTCTGACACCCTCCTAGTGAACTGCCCCCTGGTTCCCTCACCGCAAGGAGTAATAAATTCATCTATGCAATGCAGGAGTGTTCTTGGGGGTCTTTGAAGGGCATTGACAAATATTAGAGAGGAGGGTTTGGAGGAGGAAGGAATCAGTCACCAGTGGGAAAAAATGGCAAGAAGTCAAAGAGGATAATAAACATGAAAAAACCTATTTTGTAGGAAAGTCCGAGAGAGAAGCTGGGCAGAGCCCAGTGAAGTGTGGAAGATGGACAGAAGATGAAAGAGGGAGAAAGATGACACAGTGAAGCCACGGTTTTAGAATTCTCATGCCTCGTCTCTTCCAATAACCTGTTTGGAAGAATATATTTAATTGAATGTAGTGAATACAAACAGAGAACTGAGATGTTAGTTTGCTACGTGTGTTCGAAGGGGAGGGGGCAGTGAAGATAAAGGAGGAGGCAAAGGAGGAGGACAGACTAAAGATGCGGGAAGAGGGGAAGGGGAAGGGACAGAGCCAGGCCTCTGAGGCAGGCAGAGAACTGGCCCTGGGAGCGGTGCAAGGGGGCGGGCTGTGCCCTGGCGCAGGGCAGCACTGCCAGAGTGGTGGGAGGCCCTCGGGTTTTGGCTCCTGTTTCTCGCAATCATCCCCAGTGTTTGGCCAGGGCTTCCCCCCAGTTCTGGGATGGAGCCCCTGGTTCTGGCCTACAGCAAATAGGACATTCCTCTCCTTGGGTCACAGCGGTTGGTGCAGGGGTGGGCATCCAGGCTAAGACATTGAATCGACAAAAGTCCATTGATCCATTCATCCACTGCCGAGTGCCTGCCAGGCTCCAGGCCGGGTCTAGGTTCTGGGGACACAGCGGCAGCGAGCAGTCAGAGTTCTCCTCACAGAGCTTACCCGCTGTCACACAGTCCACTGTGCACCGTGATCTGGGGCAGGGAGAACCGCTGTGACAAAATCCCTTCGTCGTCAGGGTTAGATTGCACTGGGGTGGGGTGGGCACATTCGGGGAGGGGTGCAATGAGGGGGGAAGCCCCGGGGAGGCCAGGGGAGGGCGTTCTGGGCAAAGCAGGAAAAGGTAGACAGGCCTGAATGCAAGTGAGCATTAGAGGAAAACCAAGAAGGCCACACCCACTTCCGGAGTGCCACACGTGGGGAGCTGGAATCCCGGATACTTGCAAACACATGGGGGAAAAGCCTGTTTGTTGTGGGATGCTGGGAACCTGGAAGGACGCCCCCTGGGAGCACTGGCAGCACCTGATGCCACCAGGGGAAGCTGGAAAGAGGCGGAAGGAGCAACGTATCTGGCAGAGCCGGGCTAAACTACGCGCTGGAGAAGCGGAGCCGGTAACGACTTTGCGCCGGTTAAGGCTAAAGTTTGCAGAAGACCTGGCAGTGAGTGAGTGGCTGCTTAAAATGCCTACGACTAGTTGACAGTAAGGGCAGGACAGCGAGGTTCTGGGACCCCCGCCCCCCAGCACCGCCTGCAGTGGAGACAGGCGGGAGAAGTCCGGGCTGGCGCAGCGCGCAGGGAGGGAGTCGCCGCCGGCCCCGCCGGCCCCACCGGCCCCACCGGCCCCACGGGCCCCAGCCTCACCTCGATGATCTCCAGCATCTCAACCCGGGTGATCTTGCCGTCGCCGTCCAGGTCGTACATGTTGAAGGCCCAGTTCAGCTTCTGCTCGAAGCTGCCCCTGGAGGTGATGGACAGAGCGCAGATGAACTCTCGGAAGTCGATGGTGCCGTCCCCGTTCTTGTCGAAGGTGCGGAAGGCGTGCTGGGCGAACTTGGAGGCGTCTCCGTACGGGAAGAACTGCGAAGCACAACACGCACAGTCAGGCGTCAGGGGGGAAAGGCGACAGGGCCGCGGAGGCGGATTGCTACTGACAGCCCCGTGCGCCCTCGGAGCGGTCTGGCCCGGCGCCGGGGGCAGGCACAGGCAGAGGGGGACTGTCTCCCACCCGTGCGCGCGTACAGCCCCTCATCGGGTCCTGTGGGTGGGGCTGGTACTCGTGGCTTTCAGCTGGGGGCTCTAGAATCAGTCAACAAGCACCAACTGATGCTAGCATTCCTCCTAGGCGGCGTCTCTGGTCACTCCCCCAGGGACAAGGACCGAGGCGGACAGCAGGTTTCCCTCCCACACTGGGTGGTGCTACCTGAACGTCCACACTGCTTTAGGTGTGAAAATCCAGCTCCACCGACCCTAGAGGCCAGTGGGAGGGTCCCTGGACCTGGTTTCTCCTGCCACCAGCTGTGTCCCCAGCCCACAGTCGTCCCCTCCCTGGCTAAGGTTCCAGTTTCTCATTTCTTCTTACAGGGACTTTTCTTTTGCAGAACAGACATTTAAAACCCATTAAAAATAGAACATGACTGGGCTTATTTTTGAGAGACATAAAGAGGTTTCTTTACAGAGCCAGCAGTCACCAGGGCTGCGTGGGAGATAGAGAATGGACGGCAGGAGGAGAAGGAAGCAGAGAGCAGGAGGAGGGAAGACCGTGGGGGATCAGCAGGCTGTGGCCCCGGTCCCCCGTGGACGCGAGCCTAGGCCAGTTACAGACAGCAAGTGGTTCTGATCATCAACCAGCAAACAGGAAAATGTAGGAGAAACTCTTCTGGACATTGGCCTAGGCGAACAATTTATGACTACAACCCCAAAAGCAAATACAACAACAATAAAAATAAATAAATGGGACTTAATTAAATTGAACAGTATCTTCACAGCAAAGGAAATAAGAGTAATTAGACAACCTACAGAATGGGAGAAAATATTTCCAACATACATCCAACAAAGGACTAATCTACAAAGAATCTACAAAGAACTCAAACAAATCAGCAAGAAAAAAACCCAAAGAACCCCATCAAAAAGTGGACAAAAGACATGAACAGATTTTTTTTCAAAACAAGATAGACAAATGGCCAAGAAACATGTGGGAATATACATAGTAAAATGTTCCTAGTAATCTTTAACTGACTTAAAGCTCATTAACATCTAATTAGCATAACATGGGTGGAGCTTTATAGAGAATTCTAGAAAAGACACATGCGCAGAAAGGGAAACCATCATATGAAAATCATGTAACCTACCGTGCTATGTAACCTGTCATGTGATCTCTTATATAACACCAACCTGTCAATCACCCCCAAAGGCAGGAAATGGCAACTAATCCTGCCAGGGGAAAGGCGGGACAAACTAGTGAGCTGATAAAAGACAGCATGTGCTCAACCTCCAGCCTCTTTCTCCACTGCTGGAGACTGACCCATCCCACTCTCTCTGGAACATATTTTCCCTTTGTGTAGCTTTCTTTACTTTCATTCTTTCTTTTATGTGATAAACTATTTGTATGAAGTTGCTCTGGGTTTGTGATCACTCGGTCATCAGCTCAACTCAGTACCATTACTCATGCTTGACACTGGGAACCGGGGACCAGGGAACATCTACACAGATAAACCTAACATGCCCATAAATTGATGAAGGGATAAAGAATTGTGGTGTATACACACATATATATACCATGGAGTACTACTCAGCCATAAAAAGGAATGACATAATGTCTTTTGCAGCAACTTAGATGGAACTGGAGACTATTGTCCTATGCTCAGGAATAGAAAAACAAACAATACATGTTCTTACTTATAGGTGGGAGATAAACGATGGGGATTATGGTAATAAAGTGATGTAATGGACATTGGAAACTAAGAAGTGGGGGTAAGGCATAAAAAGTACCTATCAGATGCAATGTACACCATTCTGGTGACAGGTACACCAAAAACCTTGACTTCAGCATGATACAATTAATTCATCCATGTAACAAAAGACACTTGTACCCCCTAAATCTATTGGAATAATTTTTTTTTTAGAAATGCATCATGGAAAAAAAAAGCAAGCATTTAAAGATGCATCATGAAAAAAAAAAAAACACAAGCAAACAAACTGCAAAGCCTCAAAACCAAAAATGAACTGTGTACTATTATATTTTCGAGCAGGGAATGTGTGTATATGTTTCTGGATAAAGAAATCCACAACTGCATGGTCTGCAGCAGATTACTGAGGATGTTCATTAGTGCTCCTATTTCTTCGTAAGTTTTGCCACTTGCCAAGTGTGCCAAGCTGAGCAGCCTTCACAAAGATGGCCTCTCTGTGCCCACTCTGAGCTGTCTCCCTTTAGGAGCCATTGATCCACCTTTCTCACTGTGTATCCTGCCCTGAGTCCTGAGTCCTGCTGAGCTCTGCTCCCCATTCCTCCTATACCTAGAAGCTCATTGGAAGGTAGAAAATTTCCTCCAGAAATAAAACATACATTTCCATAGAATGATTTGATACATAAGGCCCAGAGACGAGCCAAGCCTTCCAGGGGAAGGAGAGGCCAGCTTAGGCTTGTGTTTCAGTAGCACCCACTTCTAGACACAAAGATCTGTTCCTGGTTTTACTACTAGGTAACAGATCACCCCAAAATTTAGTGCCTTAAAGCAACAATAATCATTTTATTATCTTGGAAAATAAAAATTTCAGGACCACTTCTTTCTTCATCAAATAACATATCTTTTCCTGGCTTCTCCTTTTATTCCATCATTCTCTAAACACATCTTCTATTTCTGCTGCCCTTCATTTTTCATTATTCATCACAATTCGCTAAGGCTTTTTTTATGTGAGGCCCCACTCTCGGTGCTGAGCATACAGAGATCAACATGGCAAGGTCCCTGTGTTCCCGGACCACACAGGAAATGGAGGAACCCAACAGGAATGTACATTGGTTACGTTGTCTGAAAGAACTGTGACAGAGGAGTGGACGAAGTATCCCTGAAGTTCAAAAAATGAGCTGTCGGTTTCAGGCAGGAGAGCTGCGGGAGGGAAGGCGATTCCTTCCTCTTTGACCAGTTCAGCAAGACTCCCACCGCCACCCACCCCCAAAGCTACTCAGGAGCTTGGCATCTGAGGACAGGCTGCCAGGTGCTGAGTGTTTTGAACTGAGCAATTTTGAACCTGAAACTTTCTAAATAAGCCAGTTTGTCCCTCCCGTGCCGTGTGCATGAGCGGTCTTCCTCCCTTTCTGGGCAGATGCCATTTGCTGATGTGTCCATCTGCCTGGTGGTCAGGGTCCTGCGTGGAGCTGGGACCTGTGAGCTGGGGGCAGAGCAGGGCAGGGCGAGCTCCTGGGCTGATTCCCAGGTCCCCTGAGTGCCATTTACCTGCCAAATTTCTATGTGCAATGACACTAGACCACTGGATATTTTTCTTCATTCGCGTAGGTTTCTGGCAGTGTAACGCTTTAACTATCTTATTTCTCACAGCCTACTTTCAGGTTAAGGGATATTTGACAGTTTTATCTAAAAATAGCTGGGCACCTTAGGTCAGTACATTAAAAATTAATTTAGGTCTAAAAATCCTTGAGAAAAAAAAATCGATTGTAAATTTTGAGCTATAAAAGTTACATGTGCCTTGCAGAAGGTCTATTTACAGACTTTTATAGCCAACATATTTACTTCAGAGCCGAGTGCGCTCAAGAGCCCTCAAATAGCTGGAGGGGTTGTTTGCTTTAGAAAATTCATCCTATCATATTCCGAGTACTTTGACTTTTTTTTCTAATCAGGGGAATGCACTTTCTTTTGAAAAAAATAATTAAACTAGTTGGATCATCATGGAGAAATGAAGCCATGCTCCCTTTAATCTCATTAGGAAGAAGTCAGGGTCTTGAACTCAGGTTCACTTCTCTCAGAGAACTACAGGGCCTGAGAAGTACAAGTATTTTTTTCATACTGTTGTTGAAAAAAATTCTTTTTATTTTAATTCAATATATTTTGCATCAACTCTTGTATTAAATGTTGACATGGAAGTAATTTTTGGTGGCTGTAATAGTCTACAAATCTTTTAATATAATCGATAAAAAGAACTTTGGGGATGGAAACTTTATACACTCACACACACACACACACACACACACACATAAAATATATTAGTATTATCTCATTTAACGCTTACAACAAAACCTGGTGTTCTAAATTCCATTTTGTGGCCGAGGAAACTACAGCCTGAAAGAGCAAAGGTATTTGCTTAAAGTTGCTGGCTGACTGTTTCAGAGGATCTGTTCAACCTTTTCTGCTATCCCTTGATATTTCTTTTAATCAAGTGTTAGTCGAGGAAATAGTCTTAAAACCACATTTGAAGAAGCAAACAAATTCATTGCATTATATAATTCCTAAGCTTCCATCACCTCTAAAGCTTGAAACCCTCCGCTGTGAGTACTTATCGCCACCTTCTGGCAGCACATACATACTGCAAGGAAATGGCGATGCTACTGGAGGTTATTTTTTGACTTATTCATTAAACTCAACAGACATATATTGAGTAGCTTCTGTGTGAAGGACTATGTTAGAAGAAGACACGGAGCATTAAGGATCGTGAGGGAAGTATATATTAATCAAACCACCACAAAAATAAGTGTAGAATTACAGTATGACAATTTACAAGTGTATAGAGCTGCAGACAAAAATAATGGACATGGTATTATGAGTTTCACACTTAAAAAGAAATAGTGTGAGGTCCCCTGTCCACACCCTAGCATACAGGCTGCTGACAGTTCATTTTTCTTCATCATAGCCTAGAGTTTCAGAGTCTGAGCCTTCCTGGGATCATACACATTTTGACTGCTCCCGACTGCATCCACACTCCTCCCTGAACCGACTGACTGCAGGAGAAGAAAACTCCGGGAGGTGCTTGAGGTATTTGTCTCTCCCCAGGCAGACGACAGGGGTCTTTACATGGTTTAACCAGCTCCCTCCGTGGCCACTGCAGGAGCTTTTCTTACAGATGGTGGG